TCTTGAAAGCCTTACAGAACTGGTTAGTGCGGCAAAACAGACAACTTGCTTGCTAAACCTGCTTCCTGGCAAAATCATTAAAGACTTAGATTATGAGCCATTTTAATGTAAGTGAATGAATAACAGTTTAGACATCCTTCATTGAATTTCATTTGGGGGATCAATTTTACTGACAGGCGATATTTGAATTATTGGCAGTCATCATCCTAAAGATAATCATACCTGTCAACTCATACGGTTTAGCCATAGTGCAAGGCCATAACGCACAAATCATACGGATTCTGAAAATTTCCGTTTTTTTTTTTTTTCTCCCCCCTAACAGGTAGTTCCATTTGCTTTTGCCCAGAATGGTGCTAGTCTACTCGAATGCTTTCATTTCCGGTAACTTTCCAGTAAATCACGTGGTTCCTAGTATTCATTGCATACTTCGGTAGTGTACAAGCAAGTTCTACAAGGAAACAAATATATCATTCATATTTCGTGGTTTTTTTTTCTGCCATTATTTTGACATTTAAAATGCTTTGGTATGTTATAAGGATTTTTTGCTCTTGATAAGGATTTTTTTTGGTAGTTTATACAGGTTGGCGCTCCGAAAAGTTGACAGGTATGGATAATACTGGTAATTATTTCTGAGAAAAAATAGTTCTAAAGTGGTATTTTTATGTGGTCCAAATGACATTTCATGATTTGCAACAGGTTTTTTGAAAATGCTAATCATGTTTATATATGCTTTTTCTCCTATTGTTTAAAATGCCTTTCATGTTAAAATGCCTCTTTTTAAGAGTTCCTTTTTTTCTTGTTCTTTTACAAATGGTCATGTTATGCGACTTAAACTCTCTCTACCATTAATGCCACTTGAGGGAGCGTCATTACGTTTTTGCAATGCACCAGAATAATCTGTGATCTGAGATGGCCGGATGTGGCAGCCATTGTGCATTCACACAACAGCAGACAGCAAAATAGATGGTTAAATTCACATGTAACATAGTTAAAGTTGGCATGTTAACGTAGCCTTCGACAACCATTTTAGTTTCTTACGTGGCCCTTTAGAAAAAATTAATTGTCCACCCCGAGGGCTGGACTGGCACAAAAAAGTCAGCCCTGGCATTTTTAGTTAGATGAGCTGCACTGACGCAAGCATACGTACGCATATTCAGAGGTGTCAAATCCAGATGCAGAATGACTCGTTTACATACCGGTTGAGTAGAAGCATTTGTGGTTAAAGCCAAACGGTGACAGGATGTTTACTTGCTGGACCAGGATTTGACACCTCCTCGCGCACCTACACATGCTCGTAGACTCCTCTTTAACTGAGAAGTCATTGTTTCTCAAACCATTCACAATTCAGAGTTTTATGAAATAAAGATGCACAAATATCCAGATCCTTGCTCAACACACTATAATACAAGCAGCATCAATCTAAATAAAAAGTAATGTTTTGATGAGCTTAATTTACTTGATAATGCCATTTTATTTGCTTTGCTGATATATTCCCACCTCATGCATTTGCTGGTTAATAGCCAATCAGAGCCGACACCATTTTGCACTCTGCAATTAATGGAACATTCATCCATCCATCCATCCATTATCTGGGGTCGGGTCGTGGGGGAAGCAGCTTTAAGGAACAACCCCATACTTCCAGTCTCCCCAGCCACCTCTTCCAGCTCTTCCCAGGGGATCCTGAGGCATTCCCAGGCCAGCTGGGGGACATCGTCCCTCCAGCATGTCATGGGTCACCCCCGCGGAACACTTCACCAGGGAGGTGTCCAGGAGGCATCCTAATCAGATGACCGAGCCACCTCATCTGGCTCCTCTCGATGTGGAGGAGAAGCGGCTCGACTCTGAGCCCCTCCCGGATGACCGAGCTTCCCACCTTATCTCTAAGGGAGAGCCCGGACACCCTGCGGAGGAAACTCATTTCGGCCGCTTGTATCTGGGATCTCGTTCTTTCAGTCACGCCCTCCAGCTCGCGTGACCATAGGTGAGGGTTGGAACATAGATCGACATCGTAAATGGAGAGCTTCGCCTTTTGGCTCAGCTCCTTCTTCACCACGACAGACCGATACAAAGTCCGCATCACAGCAGATGCTGCACCGATCCGCTTGTCAATCTCTCGCTCCCTTCTGCCCTCACTCATGAACCCCAAGATAAATAAATTCCTCCAGTTGCGAACCAAACATCGGTGGTATAGGGACCGAATAGCCCGTATCAGGGGTTCGGTATCCCATACTCCCGAAGCACTCCCCACAGAACTCCCCCGAGGGACATGGTCGAATGCCTTCTCCAAGTCCACAAAGCACATGTAGACTGGTTGGGCGAGTTCCCATGTACCCTCGAGGACCCTGCTAAGAGTTTAGAGCTGGCCACTGTTCCACGGCTGGGACGAAAACCCCACTGCTCCTCCTGAATCTGGGGCTCAACTTCCCGACGGACCCTCCTCTCCAGCACCCCTGAATAGACCTTACAAGGGAGGCTGAGGAGTGTGATCCCTCTGTAGTCGGAAGACACCCTCCAGTCCCCCTTCTTAAAATAAGGGACCACCACCCCGGTCTGCCAATCGAGAAGTACTCTCCCCGATGACTATGCGATGTTGCAGAGGCATGTCAACCAGACCAGCCCCACAACATCCAGAGCCTTGAGGAACTCCAGGCGGATTTCATCCACCCCCGGGGCTTTGCCACCGAGGAGCTTTTTAACCACATCGGTGACTTCAACCCCAGAGTTAGGAGAGGCCACCTCAGAGTCCCCAGACTCTGCTTCCTCTAAGGAAGGCGTGTTGGTGGAGTTGAGGAGGTCTTCGAAGTATTCTGCCCACGACTCACAATGTCAGTAGCGCCCCATGTCCACTGTACACTGTATTAATGTTGCACTGCTTGCTCCTCCTGAACTGTCAGTTGCTGGACCAGAATTTCCTCAAAGCCAGTCGGCTTCTATGGCCTCACTGAACTCTTCCCAAGCCTGAGTTTTTGCCTCGGTGACCGCTAAAGCTGCATTCCGCTTGGCCAGCCGGTACCCATCAGCTGCTTATGGAGTTCTACAGGCCATAAAGACATGATAGGACTCCTTCAGTTGCCGGTGTCCACCAGCAAGTACAGGGGGTGCCGCCACAACAGGCTCCAACCACCTTACAGCCACAACCCCGATTGGCCTCCTCAACAATAGAGGCGCGAAATGCGGTCCACTCGGGCTCAATGTCCCCCGCATTCCCTGGGACGTGGGGAAAACTCTATCGTAGGTGGGAGTTTAAACTCCTTTTCACAGGGGATTCTGTCAGATGCTCCCAACAAACCTTCACATTACGTCTGGGTCTGACAGGTCGAACCAGCATCTTCCCCCACCTTCGAAGCCAACTCACCACTAGGTGGTGGTCAGTTGACATATCAATTCTAAACGCTGTGTTTTTCCTTGGGTTTTTTTTCCTGTTTATATTATGAATATGCTGAGCATGGATATGCGTTTCCTTTTTTCATGAAACCATGACTGTGGATGGTTTGAAAAATGTATGACTTCACAGTCATATTGTTAGCTTACCATGGTTTGAAAATCCATCCACCCATTTTCTCAATCACTCATCCTCATGAGCCTTGTGAGCGTGCTGAAGCCTATTGCAGCTGTCTTCGGGCAGTAGGCGGAGTAGATCCTGAACTGGTTTCCACCCAGTCGCAGAGCACATATACACGATCAACCATTCGCGCTCACAATCACACCTAGGGACAATTTGGAGTGTTCAATCGGCCTGCCATGCATGTTTTTGGAATGTGGGAGGATTAAATGGCACTGCATTGGCCCCAAAAGAAGCCGGCCCTCGGGGCATCTGTTCTGCATGCCATATGGCCAGTCCAGCCCGGCCACCCCTGGCTTATGGGACCACGCAATAGGCTAATTTGGCGCAGATCTGTAGCAGTGATTCCCAATATTTTTTGCATCACAGACCAGTTTCACGTAAATATACACATTATTAGGATTGCCGCACCCGATGTGCAGCAAAACCAAGGTGCCCGTGAAACCTCATTTTCAGCCCTTCTGCACAGCCACAGTTGTCACCCTGTGAATGGCGCCATTTGCGGCACATAGCCATGGCTGAGCTTTGAAAGATTCATTTATTTGTACTTCATCAGTCATTTTCGAGTAACCTAATACACTATCAACCTCTCAAAAAAAAAAGCCAAATGCTCGGTGGGCAAATGCGGAGTGACACATTTGCATGTTTTTCAATGCGCGAGCAGCCCTGCGCACCTGTGCACCACTGTCATGTCAACCTTGAGTTCTATACTTCAGTTTTAATGAAAAAGATCAACATCTTCATTGACTTTCTGTTGGAGAGCATGATGGAAACATTAACAGAGATTCTCAAATTATAAATACGGGAATGCAGCATTCTCAGCCTCTTGTAGTGCCCAATAAAAATCATTATAAATGTTCTGGTTTATGGCAGCATTATGTTTAATGTGTTTTTAATAATTACAACATAGAAGTTATAACCTCGGATCTTCAGAGGTCCATTTAACTACCATGCCCACTCTTGAAAAGAATTATCAAATGTTGCCAGAGCAGCAACAGCAGCCAATAATAGAGTAATAGAGTGTAGTTATGCACTGTGCCGGTTGTTTGCTGAAATAAATTTAGCTGTCTCAGCCGGCACACTAGGTGGGTGGAATGAGATTTCTTTTCACTTGCTTACTGCATTTATAGTGAGGAACGACTTGAATAAAGGGACTGTTTTGGAGAACAGATTGTCCTCTTGACACGCAGGTTGACAAATACTTTGTCTGACTTGCAAAAGTAATAAAAGAGAGAGGGAGAGTTGCCAATCAAGCCAGGATGGAGAGGTCAAGTGAAACGAAATGAGTTCCTCCATCAACTTGGGGGTGAAAATTTGACATGATAAGTATGTTGCAGATGTGGAATTTAGACACGGTGAAAAAATACAACTCTCTGGATAGAGAGATAGAGAGGGAGAGACAGAGAGAGAGAGAGAGAGAGAGAGAGAGAGAGAGAGAGAGAGAGAGAGAGAGAGAAAGAGAGAAAAAGTGGGAGAGAGAGACCCAAACATCCATATGCTCATTGAACACACTTGTATTTGTTGCATGCAGGGGATATGAGGAACATGTTGAATGATTCTGTTTGTTTGCTAAAGAAAAAAAAAAACACTTTCTCCTATACGAATCCTACCCAGATGATGAGGGGGCGTTCAGCTCCTCAGAACTGGGGATTTGAAGCTGGCAAAGCAAGGGATCAACACTGAGAGGCGTAGAGGACAGGAGGCTCTTGTATCACTTGTTATGTTTTCTTGGCAGCTTTTTGTCTTTTGTGTGTGCTGGCATGGTTTAACCTTTGCCTGCTAATGTTGGAGGCCCATATTGCTAGAGAAATGTTACTTTGTGTACATATTTGTGGAGCTCCACTTTTAAAGTATATTTTATTGTGCCTACATTTCAGAGCCTCTAAAGGCACTCCGACAGACACAGTAGCGGGTTTAACAAAAATATATCCCTCCAGTCAATAAAGACCAGTCGTGCCTCTCGGTAAGTGCAATTATCTTTATTATAAATGGGTCATTAACATTGTTCAAGCTTCAAGCTGCTTTTTGGGAACTGATTAATATGAAGGGCTACCAGTTTGATACATTTTAAATAAATTTGCTAAAATGACCTTTTATTCTATTATTAGGCTACTTATGTGAAGACACTCATCATGTTAATTCTTTTTCGCAATAATTAGGAAACATCCTGTAAATATCAAAATGCAACGCTTTTTTTCTATCAATCTCTGCCAATGTTCAAATTTCCACATGATGACTTCTAAAACATCAATCCATCCATCGATCCATTTTCCAAATAATTTATCCTCGCAAGAGTTGCAGCCGTGATGGACCTTATCCCAGTAATTGGCCAGTTGACTGGGTAGATCCTAAACTGGTCGGCACCAAATCACAGGCATTCCAAGGAACTCACAGTGTCCTTTCACTATGCTACTGAGTGACTTTTAGAAAAGGCCCATAGGCTATTCATTTGGTTCTTGGGGGCTACCTAGTGCAAGCTCCGTGTTGGTGACATCATCATTTTTAGTAAGATGTCTCCATGAAACGAGGGATTGGAAAGCCTCACCTCATTTCCCCAAAATGTTTCTACCTCCTCCCACGTCGCTCCTCTGTAGATACGAGATGATAAAAAGATGAGCCCCTACACTCTGATTTGTTTTTCTTATGTGAACGAGGACATAAAAAGATTGAATTTAACAAAAAAAAAATTCAAATTGGGCATCACTGCCCGCAGTGTGAGCATAGCCTTAGATCCCGGCTATCGGACTGTGACATCATGCTGCCAGGATGAAAACAATACACGTAAAAATAATATTCTGGACTTGCCCTATATTTTGCAGAATGTGTTGATTTCCACGGAGGGCTTTGAAATCTGCGGTAAATCCTGCAATCGGGGAATTCTGCGGAGTACTACGAAGTAATAAAACAGATGACAAACAATACATTATCATGGTCTTACAGCTGTGAAGCAAGTCCAAACTTGAGTAGGCGTATCATATGACGGCTCAAATCTTAAGCAATGCAATACTTGGCTATCCATCCATTTTTATTGTGACAGTGGGGTCACAGGTGAGCTTTAGCCTATTAAAACTGACTTTTGGTGAAAGACAGGTTACACTCTGGACTCCATTAAATGCCTGATGCCTTTCTGCAGATGAGTAAAGGAATACCCATGGCCACTATAGGATGAAAAAAAGGAATTATCCTCTAAAATGATTTGTCAGGAACATGTGCAATCCAAAAACAGTCATTGTTTAAACCAATTTTTGTTCACTGAACATACTTATGCCAGTGTGACTACGTCAGAGCAGGAGATGATCTATAAAAACGAGCAGAACGCCCACTACCACACACACACACACACACACACACACACACACACACACACACACACACACACCACACACCACACACACCTCTACCCCCACCCAACATCCCTTTCAAGGACTGATGATGCTGTCACTTGCTGAATCTGAACCCACAATGACCCCCATGGGCCACGATATTGAACTTAATGCTCTGTACATGGAAGTCGGAAACATACGTGATGATTGCAGTCATCCTCACTTGAATGAGGGATCACAAAGGTCATTGTGCAAGAGTGTGTGCGTGTGTGTGTGTGTGTGTGTGTGTGTGTGTGTGTGTGTGTGTGTGTGTGTGTGTGTGTGTGTGTGTGTGTGATCTTGATTCATTTGATGTTAGTGAAAATCCCTGCTAAGAACATTACATTGAGAGAGGGTACATCGATGATGCTTATGTTCATAGTGAGAAGTGATTGTTAATGCCTGACAGCAGCTGATGAAAGCTGCTTCCAAGATATGAGCAATGTCTTACACTTAAAGAAGAGCACACATTTCCGGTTTCCATTGTGTACAAAACTAAATCAATTCATGGGTTTCGTTGGATTAAAATCAGGCATTATTTATTCCGACAGCATGCAACACAGCATGCACTATGCACACCATAAAATGTGCAGGATGAGGCTCGACAATACAATCTTGCACCCAATCTGGAGACTCTAGTGGAAGCCTGTGTGCTCTCTTGCCCCCACCTCCCTCCTCCTCTTCTTCCTCCTCCTCCTCCTCATTCTCCTCACTCAGCCTCCCGCTGCTCTGGCGCATCTCCATTCCTAACTCCTGCACCGGCTCCTCAGCATCTCTCTCTCTCACACACACAAAACCAAAAGAAAAGAAAAGGGGAAAAAAAGCACCACAGACGACCGGACCATTTTAGTATTATAAAGCAGGCTCGCGGTAAGGAAACCATTCGAGTTCTATGTTTTTACTGCTTTTACATACACTGAGCTGTAAAATGAATGTTGATAAAGAGGAGCTGTGATCAGACTTTTTAATGCATGACAGTGAGTCTGTGAGGAGGTTACACTTTTCATTGTTAATTACAGCACTCACTAACACAACACGGCATGTTGCAATTTTGTTGTTTCTTTCTTCTCCCTCTCTCAATGCAGCCCCTATCCGTGTACAAAGGTTCACAAGAAGTTCAACGTTCCGTCCAGCTTGTTAATGTCAAATCATTTGTGACAGGTATATTTACACCTTTATATTTTAAAATGCAAACTTACATTTTGAATTGTATTTTTCACTTGTGTCTGTATTGGTACTAAAAGATCATGTGGTGCCCCCCTCTCTCTTTGCGCAAGAGTAAAATGCATCTTTGCTACCACTATAATCCGATTAAGTTTTCCTGAGCTGTTTGTATTTTCTTCGTGTTTGTGTGTGTGTGTGTGTGTGTGTGTGTGTGTGTGTGTGTGTGTGTGTGTGTGTGTGCGTGTGTGTGTGTGTGTGTGTGTGTGTGTGTGTGCATGTTTACTGGCATAATAGTGCTGGACAAGCTGCATCCTTTGTCTCATCTTTGAGGCTATGTTATCCCGGGGTAGTGCACTTTTGAAGTAATTTGGGATTACCAATCCTAGATTTTAAACAATCCGTAAAGGTTGTTCGTAATAAAAATTAAGAGTACGTATACTTGTAGTTATTTTGTAGATTTTCTATGACTTATTGTTTTACTTTTTTTGTATTATTATGTACAGTGTGTGTGCGTATGGGTGACATATGAAATAAAAATAATAGGATTGGCTATCGTTTGTTATAATAAACAGCTTTACCCTGAGGATTATGGACTTTACTGAGCAACACCAGACCGGGAAATCAAAAGCACCTCATGTTTCTTCATCACTCGCATCCTAAATCCCTCAGTCCCTCCCTCATCATCTACCTCTGACCTCATTTGTTGCCTTGTGTTCCACATAGTGTGTACTTGCAGGAATGCCATTATGTTCAACACGTTTACTGCTATGTTATCTCAGCAGCAACACCTGTTTTCCTTCAGTCCTGGCACCTGGTTGCTTTGTCTTGCAGAAGCTTTTATGAACTCTACAAACACTGTTGTGGGATATACCTGTATATTGTATGTATGCTTGTTGCAGGGATACAAAAGACGGAAACCATCGTCTTCACTGTCCAGCTGTTGACACAATATAGCAGTGGTTCTTAACCTGGGTTCGACCAAACCCCAGGGGTTCGGTGAGTCAGTCTCGGGGGTTCGATGGAGCCTCTACCATGGAGGGTAAGAAACACGCGACTCAACATGTTAATTAGTTATGACACGCCCGCTTGGCCAGCACTGGCTGCAGATGATCACATGACTTTGCTTGTCCAATCATTGCTGTGGGAAACTTAGTTCGCTAAGTATTCAACGTGTGACTGTCATGATAGTACGTCGTACAATTAAAAAAAAAAAAAAAGTATACTTCTTTCTTGAAATTTTATTTACTTTTTTCTGGTTTTAATAAATGCATTTTATTTAATATCTTGAATTTGTAAAAAATATTTTTTTTTATTTTTCACTCATGAAGGGTTCGGTGAATGTGCATATTAACTGGTTGGGTTCGGTACCTCTAAAAAGGTTAAGAACCACTGCAATATAGCATCGTCTACAGTGCGGCACTTATAAACAAGGGGAGGACAGAAGGCTTGCATATCAATATGCTCTAAATCACTGAAGCATCTGTCTTCCTTCTCCGGAGGGCAGCAGGATGTGGGGAGCTGGCAGTTTGATCATGAGTGGAAAGAAAAAGAAAACCTGTAGCTGTGGAATCGCACAGGTCGGCCAGCCAGTTATGCGGCAGATGCAGCCCAGCGAAAACATAGACATTTTGGTTTTCTTAGAACACTAAGATGATAATGGCAACAAATCTGCAATCAGGGCAGAAATGCAGTGTCGCACCGGATTTAGTAGATAAAACTGTATGCATTCTTCCATCCATCCATTTGCTAGAGTGCTTTTTCTCATCAGAGTCATGGGTGAACTTGAGCTTGGGTGTTTATTGACTCAACTGAATACCCAGGTATCTATTTTAAGACATGGTCTAATTTAAAGAAGGTATGAATTTGTGCAGATGTTTTTCAGTGTGAAGTGGAGGTACACACCTTGCGATTCATTGTTTTGTCGGTGGAAAATTAGAATTTCCATGTTGCAGTGGGAATGTAATGGGTAACTTGGTCACATTAGAGGTTTCTATTCCCATGTCCTATTACTTTGTTCCTATCAATAATGCAGTACAGTAGTAGCCAGTAGTAATTATTTCCCACTTAAGACCACATGCACATGGTGTAAAGGTGGCTATAGTAAAGGTATTGACGTATATGTAGCTTGTGGCACACTCTTTTTCTGAAGTTGGAAAAAGGAAGATCTGCAGTAGGAGGGGAAAAACCCTGAACTGGTTGCCGGCCAATCGCCAGGCACACATAGACAACCCTTTGCACTCACAAAAACACCACGGGACAATCTATGGCAGTGGTTCTTAACCTTTTTAGAGGTACCGAACCCAACCAGTTAATATGCACATTCATCGAACCCTTCATGAGTGAAAAATAAATATATATATTTTTTTTACAAATTCAAGATATTAAAACAAAACGCATTTATTAAAAACAGAAAAAAGTAAATAAAATTTCAAGCGATAAGTATACTTTTTTTTTTAATTGTACGGCGTAGTATCACATCAGTCACACGTTGAATACGAAGCGAACCAAATTTCCCACAAAACTGATTGGACAAGCAATGTCATGTGATCATCTGCAGCCAGTGATGGCCAAGTGGGCGTGTCCTAACTAACTAACACGTTGAGTCGCGTGTCTCTCACCCTGCATGGCAGAGGCTCCATCGAACCCCTGGGGTTCGGTCAAACCCAGGAAAGGAACCACTGATCTAGGGTGTTCCATTAACATGCCATGCATGTTTTTGGAATGTGGGCGGAAACCAGAGTACCCAGAGAAAACCCATACAGGCAAGGGGGAGAATATGCATATTCTACATAGGAAGGCCGGAGCCGGAATTGAACCCTGTACCTCTGCACTGTGAGGCGGACATGCTAACCAGTCGACCAACATGCCGCCCAGACAAAGAATTTTGGTCCAAAATGTGCAATATTTGCAGGGCCTTAATGGCTTTCTCTGCTGGGATAAATCATATCAGAAGTTAGGATCTACATTTAAAACTTACATCAAATGGGAATCATTTCTTCCCAGTACTCGTTTGTCTTCATTTCATAGTGTATCTTGGCAGTGCAGATTCCAGTAGTTTGTGCGTGAATTTTCTTTTGGTACAATCAGATTTCAGCTTTGATTTGTTGCCATGCAAATATTACTTGCCCAACGCCTAAAGAATTCCAAATGCGGGTGTCAACCACACACATAGTTCAAATCGCTGTCTCTTTTTTTTTTTTTTTTTTTTTTTTTTAATTAGTCAGATTTTACATTCACCACTCTGCACCTCCCTCAGAGTGACGTCAGTAGGTTTCCATCCTCTGACTTATTCAGTTATGTTTGTCCCTCTGGTTCGTTGGCCTTAAAAATACACACCAAAGATTGATTTACAGGGGAAGACGACGTCGGAAGTGATTAGAATTTCATTTGCATTTTTCATGAAAAATTGGACTTTATGAGGCTAGGTCAAACACCACTGTTGCTGCATTGTTTGTTTCAATCCAGAAATTGATTTTTGGGACACTCTCAGAGCAGTAGGAATGAGTGGAACAGTTAGCTTACAGAGATAGGCAGGAGCAAAAAAAAAAGTCTGCTGCCGTTGTGCTCTGTTTATAGTTTGTAGTTTTGATAGTGATGAAGACTGATTATAAACTGCTACAGTATATTGCAGTGCAAATGTTTGGAGTTGATTGACGTTGATGCATATTGATAGGTTGTATATTATATATACATTGAGACAAAGGTAACTGTGTTTCTTGTTTCAGTAGTAATGGTCCTCATCCTCAAATACGTGAAATGTCTCTTCTTTAATGCCATATGTAGTTATATAACGTTTCTGTATATTATTTTACGATGTGATGGTGTTATAAAGAGATGGAATAGGTCACTTAAATACCCACTGAAGGCACAGGTCCAAAACTCATCCCCTGCTACTGCATATTTGCAGCCCTTTTTGTAGATCTATTTCCCCAAGCAGACACAAAATAAAAGAGGTCACAAGTACAAAATGCATGTATAAATGTTTGTCATTCCCTGTGTCGTTCCAAGTGTATGAAGAATCAATTTCCTCCTGAAGGCTTGATTGGGTAATTGCTGTTGGTTTGTAATTGTATTCAAACGGAATTTCTTATGATGTCAGATCTGATTTCTTTTCTGCATCCCGCAGTGTCTTTGGTTTGGTGCTGTTAATGATTAATGGAACATCAAAAGCTGATCTCAGCTCAATGCGACCAATTCACGCAGATATGAGTCTGCAACTTGGACACATACGCAGCATTGATGAACAAGGAGCAGACTTGCAAAACAAAGCGACAGAAAGAAAGCAATAATGTTAGTGATATGATGTATCGTTTACTTGTGGCTTTGATTGTGGTTACCTGTGAAGAGCCACTTTGAGTGATGGAGTGTCAGGGCTCTTAGGTGAATAACCAACATCGCTTTTATACACAAAGACTAGGACAAATGGATGGTTGCCAATTTTATAGATACCTTTCGAAAAAGCCTTTTGCTTCCTTATGTCGAAGAGGTTAAAAGTGTGCAAGAGAAAGTTTCGCATTTTTATTCTCAGAGACAAGGTGCAGCACATGTGGGCTTTTATCTGAGCTGGTATTAAAGGCTAAATTGCCCAAAAGGGAGGAAAATTGATTGAAATAATGCTACTGTGTACTCAGTCTTCCTTTAGGAAAAAAAAATCTTTAAGACAAGAGTTTTCAAAGGGACTTAAGATACACGAGCAAAACTTTTTTTAAAAAAACAGATAAAAAAAAGAAAATCATATCTATTCTTGGAGACTATGTCACCTAGCTGGCCTGGGAACGCCTCGGGATCCAAAGGGGAGAGCTCGAAGAAGTGGCTGGGGAGAGGGAAGTCTGGGCTTCCCTACTAAAGCTGCTGCCCCCGCGACCTGATCTCGGATAAGCGGTGGAAAATGGATGGATGGATGGATATCTATTTTTAAAACTGATTTGCTGATTTCAGAAAATAGGTTGTAAGGTATGAATGGAGACTGGTGCAAGCAACAATCTCTACAGCTGAAAGAATGATTGTTGACCAAGATGTAAAATAAAGATTAATTTATCACTGAGATAGTAATACCAAAACCGGAGCCACCTTAAAATGTTTAACAGATTTCTGACTTGAGATTTCTAACAAGCACTGTAATGAGTTTTGATAAAGTTATTAAGATTTGATCATTTTTAAAATTTGCCTTGGCTTGGGAACTAGCAGAGACCTCAGCTAGTTACAGTAGGTATCAATGGTTATTATCGCACTGCTAGACCTTTTGCACAATAATCAATACATTTGTATGAAACTACTGTATGCTATTTTTTTATTTTTGATAAACTACACAGTCAAAGACACACAAATTATTAACTTATCATCCATCCATCCATCCATCCATCCATTTTCCAAACCGCTGTAGCCTCACAAGGGTCGCGGGGCATGCTGGAGCCTATCCCAGCTGCTCTTGGGCCGTAGGCGGGGGACACCCTGAACCGGTTGCCAGCCAATCGCAGGGCACACAGAGAAGAACAACCATCCGCACTCACACTCACACCTAGGAAGAATTTAGAGTCTTCAATCAGCCTGCCATGCATGTTTTTGGAATGTGGGAGGAAACCGGAGTACCCGGAGAAAACCCACGCAGGCCCGGGGAGAACATGCAAACTCCACACAGGAAGGCTGAGCCGGGATCGAACCCACGACCTCTGCACTGTGAGGTCGACGAGCTAACCACTTGACTACTGGGCCGCCCTTAACTTATCATATATATGCATATTTTTTAACACACAAAACTTGTATTCAAAGTAAAAAAAGCTGATTAAAAAAAGGCCTGCACCTTTCAAGGGCCCTTAAGCATAGCTACAGAAACATAGGAAATGAGCAAAAGTTGGACTTGTATAAATATGACCAAATCCATCAAAATGGAATCTCATTGTCTGTGTGTGTGTGTGTGTGTGTGTGCGCGCGTACGCATCATCAGTGTGAAGGATGTAGAGCCATCGGGGTGGAGGAACAGGATGGAGTGCTCCTGGAAGGCAGTGCTGCTGCTGGTGTGTGCTTCACTGGGGGTCCAGTACACAGCCATTCGCACCCTGAGGGACTCGCTCGCTGGACCCTGTCAGGGTGTTTACGAGTGTCAGAGCAGACATCACCGAGGTACCCCAACCAGTCCAAACATCTAACATTAACAATACATACATCATTTAGGATGACATGTCTTGTACATGTCAGTGTTCCCTCTCATTGGACAGATGTCGTAGGTCGTAATGCATGCACTCAATAAAGAGGCTTCCAGAGAGGAGCGCCAAGTTTACACTAGCTATTCATTTGCTTCACTCAAACGGCGTGTGGCTATTTGCACTGGTTGTTTTTAATTAGACATTGTTAATCAATGAGACTCATTTGCATAGAGGTGGGCAATGTCTCCAGCAAATATATGTATTTAACCTCAAATAAATAGTGCAAGACCATCGGCAGACTGAGACGCATTCCGCTATTACCTCAGTCAGTGTCGCATTTCACCAACTACGCGTGCTTTGTGAATAAAACATAGTCTCCATAGACTCCATTATTTTCCACTCAATCCTTGAGTGATTTCAGCTCTCAGTTCATCCAGATAAAGTCCTTCTCATCCGCTGCTTTCCCTGTGACTTCAGGTGCGCCCCAGGGCTCTGTCCCGGGGCCCCTGCTTTTCACCATCTACCTCCTCCCCTTTGGTACTACTTTCCATTAATAATTTGTTTCCATTGCTTTGCGAATGATACCCAGCTCCACCTCTCCTGTAAACACAACATCTTACTTTCACCCTCTTCCCTTACATCCTGCCTATCAGACGTCAACACCTGGTTCACATCTAAACTGATGAAATTATACAGTAACAAAACCAAAATTCTCTGAAATGGCAACGTATTTACATTATCCAAAGTTGACAGCTTTACCATATCGAGTAGGTCACTCCTTGATCTAACTTACACTTCAGGTTAAGAATCTGAGGTGTCATCCTCGACAGCACACGATCATTCAGTTTACCTATCAGTCACATAAAACCGAATGCTTACTTCCACCTATGCAAGATCAATGGGCTCCACGCCTCCCTCACCACTACCCTGGTTGACAGTCTTGTTACCTTCCATATTGAATATTACAAATCTCTCCTCTTTGGCCTCCCTCACAAGTGACTCCATAATCTCCATCTGGTCCAGAACTCTGTTGCACACCTCATTACTCAAACCGCCTCTTTCAATCATATAACCCCCATCCTTCAAGAAACTTCCCTGGCTCCCAGTCAAAGAGAGGATCCACTTCAAACTACTGCTTTACACCTTTGAGGCCATACACAACATCCATATTAGTCTGACCTCCTACAAAACACCAGTCCAACCTCCACCCTCAGGTCCTCCTCCTGCATCCATCTGACTGCACCCATCACTTGTCTCAGTATCACGGGGAGCAGAGTTATGCGTCGTTTTGCTCAACAGCTCTGGGACTCTGCAACTTGACCTCAGATTCTCTCATCACATTCAAACTAAAACTCAAAATATGTCTGTTCAGTGTCACATACACACTTTGACGTCATTGCTCTGTATTTATTTTCTCTATTATCTCTTTGATTTCATGTACAGTGTCTTTGAGGGTCTTGAACGGCGCTTACAAATAAAATGTATTATTATTAATATTACACTGGTCAAATCACAGTGGAACAATGATGCAGTAGAAGTCAAAGAAAGAGCACGTAATTAACCGGATGAATCCCCATGTGGAGGTGTGAAGAAAAAATGAGATTTGTGATTCATTTTACAATCAGCTTCTAAATTTTCCTCTATTAATCCTCTCTTGTACTGTGCCTGTTACCGGCACCCACATTTGCAATCAACTCCTCATCAGTGGTAATTACATGTTAGCTGTTTGTGCTATATATAGAGATTGAGCATTTCATAAGCCCCCACAGTCACCACAAGAAGATAGTCTTGGTGGTCCCCTTTTTTAAGAAGCAGCGTGTCCTAACTACATAGACTATATACTGCACAGTATATATTGTACACCTATACTGGAAAGCATAGCAGTCATTGCTGTATTCCTGAAGAATGCTGCGGTGAGCCCAGTTTCCTAACATCCGAGCCAGGAGGTGCACCAAAGTGCTATGCATACCAAGGCACTGGGGCAGGCATGGAAGTTCGCCCAATCAGGATGTGTGATTTGGAAAAGGCATTCAACTCTGTTCTTTTTGGTATCCAATAGGAATGAGCCAAAATCACCGGGAGAACTGCGGGTCATTTGGTACCTATACAATTCAAGCAGCAACACTTGTTTCACATTGACAAAAGACTCTGCCAAGGCTGCGCATCTGTTGCAGCTGACGGTGGCATTTCTAGGAAGATCTAAATCTGCTGCTCTCGGTCGGAAAGGAGCAGATTTCTGGTTCTGATTTACTGGTAGATTTATGTTCCCACACTCACATATGGTTGTTTATAAATGTGAGCTGATCGGGAAACATTCATAAGTGTTTCAGGCCTGTGTTCAAGTCTAAGGGACACACTGGAAGGACTCACTCTTGGCGTGGGAATACCCTAGTGTCTTTTCAGTGGAGCTGGTCGAGACTGCCAGAAATTAGGAAGTCTCGGCTTTCATGCTCAGACTGCTGCTTCGCAGCCAAGGAAAGTGAGTGTCGTTGTGAAATGTTAAAACATTATATTTAGTGTAGTAAGACATCATTTCGGCCTATTATTTTTTAATCTAGCCATCCATTCGTATATGCCACTTGTTTTGTCCAGGGTCACGTTTGAAATGGAGACTACTTTTGAAATCTTATTTTCATTTTATCATGTATTTAAAAGGGACAATAAACTGGTACACGGCCTGCATAAATGTCCCAAAGTTAGCATACAGCTAATTTACATTCGTAGTCTCTTTGCAGGTCACATAAAACATAGACAACCACATTTAAACATGTAAGAAAATCCTTCAATAGTTCAAACTGTCACTTTTAATCAACAGCCTAAAGTGCCTAAGTGCAAGTAGTAAAGTGATTTCAATATTTAGTGCTGCAGTTACTACTAATTATTTAAAAATAATTAAGTATCGATTAAAATGTGCAAGAAAGTCTAGATGTGTTGGTCCTCTTCTGCCTCTTGGGGAGGATCAATGCAGCGATCAAAATGTCTAGATAAATACAGTCACTATAAGGCATTCATACATATTGTACTATATCCAGTTGAAAGCTTTCGTGGTAGAGTACAGGATAAGCACATACAATGGATGCATACATATGTGTGTGCAAACATCATTTGGTAAAATACGCAATCGTGACACATGCTACAGGTATCATGTGACATGAGCTTTGAACAACTGTAATGAGCGCAATATTGATTGGATTTAAGGCAGTTTTTTTAGATGACTTGATCGTATGATATGTGGGGGATTCTCTTATTGGATGAGGGATTATTTTTGTCGGCATGCATTTGTTTTGAGTACGTTGGCATTGGTCTGGTATATCAGTTACAGGATATAAGTTAAAAAAAAAAGAACTGGTATAGAGCAAGTGGCAAGTATAGAGCCCTGCGGGACCTCTACTGGCCACTCTACTGCTGGTGTGTTGACATTGACCACACCACACTGTGTTCGGTTATTGAGATATGATTTCATCCACTTTAAAGCTTGTTCTGAAGAATTTAATGTACTGTAGTTAATTTTGCTAAAAGTATGTCATGGTCAACAGTGTCAAATGCTTTTTAAAATGATTATTTTTGGGACCACTTGTATGTTATTTGGTGTATTTGACCTTGGGCGACAGGCAGGGTACACGCTGGACAACCAATAGCTGGGCACGTATCGACAAACAACCCTCTCCACCTGGAAATTTAGAGTATGCACCTAACCTGCAGTTTATATTTTCGGAATGCAGAAGAAAGTCAGAGCACCCACAAACCCACACAAGCATAGGGAGATCATGCAAACTCCACACCGAAAAATACCCTGAAGAAATACGATGCAAAGAGAAAATACAATTGCATATGGACTGAAAACTGTTTTTTTTTTTCCTCCTCAAAGAATCCAATTGGAAAACTCTTTGTGATGACAGTTGGATGTCCATGGAGCCCACTCAGAAGCACATCCTACTGTTTGCCACCACGCGCAGCGGTTCATCCTTCACCGGACAGCTGCTCAATCAGCACCCTGAGATCTTTTACATGTTCGAACCTCTTTACCACGTCCAGCAGGCATTCACAAATTCCAGCGGCAGGATTCGTCGTAGTTTGGACCGCCGGGCGCTGCTGGGAGCGTACAGAGACCTCCTGCTCAACTTGTACAAATGCGACCTTCACTTTATGGAGAGTTACATCCGCCCTGAGCCCCAGGACCATGTCACTAATTCCTTCTTTCGTAGAAGCTCGAGTCATGCCCTTTGTTCTCCTCCTGTTTGTCTGGAAGGAGGGAATGGAGCAGCACTGGCTCCACCTGAAGAAAGTTGGTGTACCAAGAAGTGCGGCATCCTGAACCTAACCTTAGCATCAAAGTCGTGCCTGACAAGAGGCCATGTAGCCATAAAAACTGTTCGCATCCCCGAGGTGAAGGACCTGCGAACTTTGGTTGAAGATCCGCGTCTGGACTTAAAGATCATCCACCTCGTGAGAGACCCTCGAGCCATTCTCGCCTCACGCATGACAGCGTTTTCAGATCAGTTCCGTGCTTGGAAAATCTGGAACGCCACAGGACGGCAACCGCGATATGTGGATCTATCGCAGATCACCAGCACCTGCAAGGACATGGTGGCGTCTGCAGAAGCAGGACTGCAGAGACCGGCTTGGCTGCAGGGCCGCTACCTTTTAGTGAGATATGAAGACCTAGCTTTTAACCCGAAACACATGGCCAACAAGCTCTACCAGTTTATTGGCCTAGAGATGGAGGATAGGGTGCAGACATGGATAACAAGGAACACCAACAGCAATTTGTCTGCTCCATTTGAATGGAATTACAAATACTCCACCACCAGAGACTCCAGAATGACGGCTGAGAGTTGGAGGCTCCATCTCGGCTATGATATTGTCAGAACTGTGCAGAATCTGTGTAACGACACTCTGGCCCTGCTGGGTTACAGACGTGTCCATTCGACAATCCAACTCAGAAACTTGTCCTATAGTCTAGTTGAACCCATCACATTTCAAACCAACCTTTCCCAAACTTAGGGCATGACCAAAAATGGTCAGGCAAGCACATAATTTATAAGCAAGGTTTTTTTCTTTGTATGTATTTAAGTTACTTGGGTCTATTTTCTTTCTTTTTGTCTTTCTTTCTTTCTTTCTTTCTTTCTTTCTTTGATAAATGTGTCAACATAATTAAACTTGGGAGAAGTTCTAAATTGTCAAGATGCTAAAGTGATGAAACAAAATTCAGGAGTGATGCAAATATCGTATTTACATCTTCAATACTGATGTGCCAGATACCAAAATGTTTGCACAGATCAAAAATAATAATTACACAGTATATTGCTGTGTGTTGTTTGTATGAGTGAATGAGTTTTGATTTATGCTACAAATACTGCATATTATGTGCATACTGGATGTGCATTGGGCATTTTGTCATTTTAAACACAGTAAAACCAAAGAAAAAAAATTGAGTAGATCAGTGAAATCCAAGAGTGTTTTAATTTTCATTCTTAGAGGAATGTAAAATTATGCTCTGCTTCGGTGATGTTGAATCAAGTACATTCCAGTGTAAATGTTTCATCTAATAATTTCACACTACATTGGAATCCCACTCAGTTACTCTGTCCTTCCCCCAAACGAACTGGAGTCTTTTGTCAAGAAGTGCAAATTTGGGAAACCGGTTTAATTTGGAATCCGATTTCTTCATATGCAACATAGCAGATATCTTCGAAGACCATGTTCATTGTCGACAGGCACAGCCACTGATCAGCGAGCGAAGGTTGCTCCCAATTTTAGAAATAATCCTTCGCATCATGTCTCGATGTCATTTGTGAAGAACTCAGATTTTATTTTTGGGGAGTGAGGAGGTTGGCGGCTAACAACTAATTCTCACGAGAATCAAAATGGCAACGGTGACTTTGATTTTGTTTCCTTTCAAACAGCGTTATAATTATGTGGCAACTGTAATGGTGGACTGCTCACCGTGATGAGCTTTAATGCTCAAGCCATTAAATAAAACCACTGCTGGCTTCAGGAAATGTAAGAAATTGGAGCAAAATGATCAGGTGTCTCCGTACAGACTATTAGAGTAAATCTCAGGTAAAATTACCCTTCCAATAACGGAGTCTGTTCATTTACTTTCTATCTTTCCTGCAGCTGCTCTTACAATTGCTGACACCAAGAGTTACCAAACATACATCTAAAGATCCTGGGGAAGGTAAACAGAATTTCAAATGCATGGTAAAACGAAGAAAATCTGCAAACCTTACACATGCTGTTCATAAATTACACTTTTAGCCCCGTCAAGAAAACGTCTTTTTTTTTTTTTTGGGCTGTTCCCTCCCTGTCACGCAAGCTGCAAAAGTGGACTGAGTCAGCTGTTAGCTAATTAGCCATCTCTTTGCACTCAATAAAAGTAGTTTCTTTCCATCCCCTTGACTGTGCTGACAAAATTGTGTCAATACCGCTAAAATTATGAGGTGCATGCTGGGGCGGGGGGACTGCACAAAATCCATATTTTCCTGGCTGCTGTTTCAGTCCTGTTGATGAGCCAAATGCAATACGTTTGATCATTTAAGTTGTTCTTCATTAGCTCACTAGTGTAAAGCAGGAGAAAGCACTCTGTTTGGTGAGATCTAATTTACTTTTAAGCCACTGTGGAAAATACAAATCAAAGCATTTGTCAACGTACTGATACGGCAGAAACAGCCCCACCCAACCACAACACATGTTGCAAGACATTAACACTTGCGGCTTGAATGGCAAATTTGGGCTGATGAAACCATGCTGTTGGACAGAGAGCAGGCCTGAGATGAAATTGAATTGAAATTACTGCAAAACTTAGTACTGTACTATCATTTGTACTTTACATGCTCAAATCTAAAACATGTGATTTTGAAAAGAAGGAAAACCTTTAATACAGTCATATTCATTTACTTTTCATTGTACTTAATGAAACGTTATCATTTCGCGTCTTCATATCTCATCATTCCTGCATGCTTGCAAAATTGCATAAGCAAAGCGCACCACTCAGTTGAACACAAGATGTGCCAAGGCTGGTCCATCAATGCATTTGGTGATCTTTATGATGTAATACATATTTTAAGGACACTTTTGAGGGTGAAAGTATTGCATTTCTTGATAGCTCCAATGTCAATGGTGGCTTTTTTTTTAAACATGCTCATCTCTCTTGACCAGAATGACATGATTCTACAGCTTCAGGTCACAGCCTTGGCAGAGCGCAGACAGTGAGAAGCAGCTGCTGATGATGTTTTGTTAAGTACCATCTTGACCTTCCAGTACTGCTCTTGTGTCACTGTTGATGGAATCAGCTCTGTAGCATAATTTCCCCTCTGTATTTCCTTAACACCCCTCCGTAATCACCAGTTTTAACTAGTGGCTGCTTATAATGAGATGAGAAGAAGGATGTCCTTGGAGTTGATCCTCTCGCTGCAGGTATGTGGTCTTCATGGTTCGTTAAGGCCCTCATATGGGCAAGCAGCCAGGAAATTGGCAAATAAGGAGCTCATTTGCGGCCAGAGTGACGCACAAACACGTTACTGTCATTTTGCATTGTTGCATGCATACAAACATGCACTGCTTCTTTGTTCCTGTGCTTTAATAGAGATGTGTTTTGGCAGCTGAGTAGTATAAAGAGTGGCCGCACCACATATTGCCTTTTTTTAGGATGCCATTGATTTAAGAAAAGTCAGAGGCTAGGGAGAGCACCGCAAACAGCATATTGACAAACCACTTAAAATGACTTGTTAAAAGTGTTGTTGACGACTGGAGAATAGTTACCGGGAGCTGGCCGTTTGAATTTGAATCATCACCTCAAAACAGCTGCCAGTTTAAATGCACCTTTCAGCACAGAGAGCCACTGTGTGCAGTGTAACATATGGCATCAAAATATTTTAATCGTGACATTCATGATGGTGAGAAAATACTTTAAGCTCCGAAGCACGGCAGCCTTTTCCCTATTCTCCCAAACACCGCAATCCCACAGGCACTGGCACAGACATATTGCATTTTTCACACTGCTCACTGGAAAGCAAAGATGTCATTTATAGAGAGATTAAGGAGCATTTAGAAAACACTTTGAGCCGCCGGGGCCGTAAGCAGACATCAGCCGCAGTGCCCGCCTCACTCACACACTGTTATTTCCCCCATGTGCACAGTTCAGACGTTCACAGACAACACCGCGCATGCAACCCTGCTGTTTATCTGTTGCCGCCTCTCTTCTGTGCTCTCTTTTCAACAGTCGGAACCAGTTTCCATCGTTCGCTTGACTCGACGACACTTCAATTCCCGATTTTGAGCAGGTCCAAAAAAAATCCTTCCTGTTGCCAGTCCAGCAAATTTTTGTGAGCTTCCCACTGATCCTAAAATTGGTGTCAGCATCCGATTGCCAATGTAAAAAGTGCAAAGATAGAAAAGTATAAAAGAGTGTTTCAGGGTCTAATGATGCTAATTCACCTCACCAGGTCTCAGGGTCCGTAGCCTCAGGGGCTCTTACTTCTGCAGGAGTTTGAAAAAAAATCAATTCGAAGTGAGAAAGACTCAGATGTTTGACAGTATATGTGAATATTGGTCTACTGCCCACCAATAACCATCTCGCGCAACTCACAGCCGTCCTCCATCTATTTTCTTTCATTCGCGGCTCCAGTTTCAGAAACACGTAGGCGTGAAAATGTCTGTGGGGGTTTTTTTTTCCCATTCTCCCCCATAGAAGTCTTGTACACCAGGATGTGGAATGAAGTGCTGCACGAGGCATAGGCTGCATTATAACAGAAACAGTCGAGGGGGGGAAGCGTGATCCTTCATGCTTAGATCAGAAGGTATTTTTTAGAGTGGTCTGTGAGTTTGGCTCCTGCAATGATTTTTATTTTCTTTACCTAAATTACTTTTCCTTAGACAACTGTCTCTTCCACCAAATGCTTTTGTTGGAAAAAAACAATTAAAAAAAATGGGGATTTATTTTCTCACAGGTCCCCAAAACAGTGCAGCACCTGGCTGCTTGAAAATGACCAATACACATGACCAGGTGGACGTTTACTATAAATGCATCCACCATGAATATTGGGTTACATCCACATGTGAGTGAATCTTTGCACATGCAGTGTGTTTCGTTTGCAACATTTGCCTGCAGATCTATCTATCCGTCCGTCCGTCCATCTCCTGCTCGTTTAACACAGTTGCAGGCTTGACTTTACTCCAGCTCAATTGTTCTTTTTAGCAGATAATTACTCCATGCTTTTTTTGTCAATAATGTACCATGCTTTAATTAGTCCTTCAGTAAGCTCAGCTCATGACTGGAATCAAGGACAAACAGCCTAAGACACGTTTGATCCAAAGACATGCTAAGATTTTCAGGGAGCATTTTTAGAATGATCCTTCTGCACCTCAAGGCAGGAGTTAGCCTGGACCGACTTGCTTCAGCAAATCTGCAGGATGAAAGGATAGACGAATGCCTTTTAGTCGTTGATTCAGAAAAATAAAGCTCTCTGCTCCCCCCACCCCCCACCCATGTCCTTTTCCACACTACATTTTACAGGCTATGATGTGCAAAGACATAGGAAAAATGTCATCAAAATGACACAGAGAGGGGTTTAGATGTAAGCATTTCATTTCTAATCATTTCAACACTATCACATCAATATAGAAATTGAACTTCTATCGATTTATTGCTCCATAGCAATGTTTGTACACTGACTGGCCGTATCATTTAAATGTAAACAACATTAAATCTATAGCATAATCTGTCTTTAAAATAATAATGCTTGATTTTAGTTGACACAGTCAAAGAGGTTTTAATTCAACACTATCTTTATTTTTATGGTAAGGATAAGCAGTGCGGATCATGACTGGATGGATGGATGTCCGTATTTTCTGCATGATAATGCGCATCGGATTTTAAGGCGCACCTTCAATGAATGGCCTATTTTAAAACTGTTTTCATGTATAGGGTGCACTGCATTATAAGGTGCATAAAACAGAAGATTCAATAGTGGTTGCGGTTGCACTATGCACCCAGTAGATGGTGCTACGCTAAAGGGAATACAATACAATGCAATACAGCTTTACAGTGATCCCTCGCTACTTCGCGGTTCGTTTATCGCGGGTTCAGTGCATCGTGGATTTTTTCAAACAAAAATTTTTTTTTTTTTTTTTTTTTTACATATACATGGAGTATAGTACTGTATATGTTGCTCTATGTGACTTGCTGTTGTTTTGCAGCTTCTCGCGGACCATTTGCAGACTTAAAAAAAAAACCTGTTTATGTTAATTGGACGCTACTTCTCGGATTTTCGTTTATCGCGGGTGGTTTTGGTCCCCATTAACCGCGATAAATGAGGGATTACTGTATTTGTATAGAAACTTCACAACCGCTGCAGCTGGAACAATGAGAAGTGGTCCCAATGAAACATAAAAATACAAATGGCATTACAAAACAATAAATGAAAGACAAACGTTATGAAGACAATTGTTTCATCAAAAAGGCACACAAACCTCATGGGCTCACATCCACAAGGGGCTAAATATCCTGAGAGGTCTTGCTTGTCTCCTTCTTCCTTCGTTTAGTCAGTCGTGTTAACTATGCTTTTGGTGTTATCTTCGTTTCATAATGGCTGCGCATAGCTCACAAAGTAGTTGTCTGTTTGATTTTGTGTTGGCGAATGCACATGTCAATTAGTGTCGGAGAGAACCCTTTTAGGTTGGCATAGGAACACTAACAGGGAAACAACTCAATAGGGAATATAAAGAGTTACAGTCTCTTTATACTATGTGCATCTGATTATAGGGTGCACTGTCAGCTTTTACGTGTGCCTTATAGTATGGAAAATGTGGTAATTATATTTAAATTCAATTAAAATTACTATTATGTTTGTTATGTCCAACTATTTTCTGTATTACCTTTCTGAGTGAGTGACCTTGAGCCTATCCCAGCCGGGTTAATGTACCCTGGAGTATTAGATAGGACAAAGTTACTTTATTTGTCCCAGCCAATCACAGCCAAACAACCATTGACACACACATCCTCACCTATGGACAATTTAGTCATCAAATTGAAAAAAAAAATTGGAACTGGAGAGCAGCCTGCAGAGCGTTGTTTTAATTGGCCACAACAATGTTTGTTCAAGTGCTGAACAAAGTGCCACACAGATGACCCCAAACTCTACTCATTCATCTTTTGAGACACTTGGCTGTCCACGCCTGCTGTTGTTGGCCCAGCTTGAGACCTGTCCACTTTCTTCCTGCCATGCAGCAAGAGCTTGCAAGCTAACTCGTGACCGGTGCTCATCAGCAGGACACGGTGAAGGAAGAAATCCATCCGCCCAAAAGATGCCGGGAAAGCCACAAGAGGCAGAAGTGAAAAGGAGTGTGTAATGCTTACTCGGGCAAATGAGTTCATCCAACAGCAGAGGGGGTTGGTGCTT